GTCTAGCTTTGTGAATAACCCTCCTGGTGTTTCAGTGGTTGAAGGAGCAGGAAACCATTCAACAATCTCCGAGAAGATTTTCTTTTTTTTTAATGAAAAGAAACATGCATGCAAAGACTTTAGTACATCTGTGTAAAGATAAATCCTTTTTAAATGAAAAATAATGGGTATTGGTATGCTCCCCTGCACTTGCATAGATTTTCTTTTCCTCCCACAGGCCAAAATAATTGATGTTAATTGCCTTTTTTAATTGGCCTTTTACTGTGTTTATCTGCGTTGTGATACATGATTAGCAGACTACAATCAGATTTGCTGGGTGTTTTACCAGCCAAACTGATCAACATTCCAAGTAACTGAGCTCATCTGTTGCCATCATTTTGTGCCCATACAAGGTCAGATTGTTATCTAATTGTAAGAGAAATGTTCTGATAATGTGACTGCTCATGTCTGTGCATGGGGACATGGGATAGTGGCATTAGAGTTCTTTTCTGGGGTTAGATGTTCATATGGATGGTTCCATGTGCAGCATAAACTGCATAATGATAATGCTGATTCGCTCAGGGATGGACAATTTAAATATGGAGCTCAAGAACCAGCCTGTCCTATCCAAAAGCCAGCAGGGTTTTTGAGGAGTTGGCTCAACTTTGACAACTGCTATAGTAAATCCCACCAAAGGTTAGGCACCAGCTGCAAATTTTAAAGAACTCCGGGGTGGGGGAGGTGTATCTTAACCCTTGCAGTGCAAGGGTTAAGTGCTTGTTTTCGCATAGGGGCAAAAATAACATCGTTATACTCGCCTGAACCTCCGAAACGGCTCGTCCTTAGACTGGTCCCCTCCGCTCCGGGAGTCTGACATCCCATGAGTCATCACGTCTTATACGGTGTATTGGATGTGAGGAATCGGGGGGACATTCAATCGCTGGAACAGAGCAGAAGTGGGACCGGGGCAACAGCCAGCCAGCTCAGAGGTTCTGGTGAATATAACTTTTTTTTTTCACTCCTAGGCCAAAACAAGCACTTGACCTTTGCAATGCAAGGGTTAAGATAATTGTTTCCTAAGCCAGCCCTGGCTTAGCCCCTGCAAATCCATATGGGTAGTGTTCTATTATTCACCAGGCATATTGTAAGCTGTCACTGAACTGGACTGGACACAGAAATGTACAGCTCTACACACATACTGATGAAGGCACTGCATGTGGTATACATGCACTGCACAAATGGTCATGTATGGTTTTGATTCCCTTTAAAAGACTTTGCATGCCGTCAAAAGCTGATGACCAGTAGTGAAGCACTGGGACTGTGGCAAGAAAAGTTTTGCAGTCATCAATGTTTGGCAACATAACACTCATAGGGAACATGGAGTTCTTCCGATGCTTGATAGACTTAAAACCTAATTTGCTAGCACAATCTGAGAACTGTAGTTTGAGTGGTTAGCTTTGCTGCTTGTGCTCTATTGTCTGCAATTGACTAAAGTTGCTGAGGCTAAGGGGTTATCTAAATGTTTGGCGTTTTTTTTTTTTTTGAAGACACACCAAAGTCTAGGCAAATAGTTAAATACACAATGGAAATAAGTGAGTTAACAGTTTTTAATTCTGCAGTCAAGCTTGTGATGTAATCACATTTTCCACACTGCGTATAATGACAGGTGGCACCAAAAGCTCCTGATGAAAGTATATCTAAACTCAAAAACATGAATTCTATTGTTCTGTTCTGTTCTGTACCAGTCCTTAGATGTTGCTGCTGCATTAGTTTTTTTTGTTTTTTTTCTATGCTCCCCCCTTTATTATCACTTTATGATCCAGCAAATAACACTTCCTGCACAAATCTTTCCACTTTATCTATGGAGGAAGACGTGGTTGTCACATAGGCTGGACTTTAAACATTGCTCATCTCAATTGCAAATCACTTCTCTACCCCCAACCTCTTCATTGGACAGCGAGTCACCATCAGCACCTATGTCCAGTGAGTAGGGAATTGTCCCATGGACCAGTTGCATTGAGCAAGGAAACAATGTTAAACTGACCAATGGTAATCAATACTAGTAGAAAGGAAGGTAGCCATGGTTAGATGTTTAATGACTGGTCCAGTGTAAAGCTGGCCTCCCCCCATAGATTATCTGCATATTTTCTATGGTCAGATAGAAAAAGGTGCAACAGATTCCTCCATCTACTCTAAACTGCGTGGATGAAGGAATCTCCCCCTGGGCCAAGCTTCAGCATCTTGCTAGTCAGCCTCGCTTGCTCTCAAAATACCAGAACACTCTGATTGGATGCAGGCATTGTTCAGGTATTTTGAGAGCCAGGTGGCCAACTAGCAAGATACTGAAGCTTGGCCCAGCAGGAGATTCCACCATCCATACAGTTTAGAGTAGATGGGGGAATCTGTTGCACTTTTTCGATCTGACCATAGAAAATCTGCATATAATCTATAGGTGTATGGCCAGCTTTAGACGGACTACATGAACTCCACCCCCTCGTATTGAGGTTATTCGTAGAGTTGGAGTTAACAGGTAGGGAAGTTCTCTTATACAAGGCTCAACCCAGAACGTCTGTAATCAATCCATCATGCATACATTTAAAGCATATCCTTACAAATAAATACACCAAGTCTAAATATATTCACGTTATTAAATGAGTTGACAGGCACATCAGAGGAGAAAATAGATTTACTTAAGGGGGTTTAGGATTTTTAGAATGAGAGGGGGGAATATATCTATATCGGGGGGGTGGGCAAATTATTATGGAATTAGGGAGCCAGTCTGTCCAATCCAGGGACCAGCAGGATTTTTAGGAGCCAGTTCCATTAAAAAAACAAAAACTAGAGAAAACTTCAAAAGTTAGGTGCCAGCGGTGATTTTTAAGGAGCATTGGCAACCAGGTTCCTGGGATTTGTCCAGCCCTGAAATAAATATATATGTAGATTGCATTTTATACACATCTGGTGTAATTGGAAGCATGCCAAACTGATTGTATTTCTTTGCGATGATACGCTTGCACTGGACCATTCTTTAAAATTCTAACTGTGGCTTTTAGCTTGAAATGCAGCTGCCATCCTTTCTACTAGTATTTATTCCTGAACTCCAGAACAAACCACCGGGGAGCCTCCAGCTGGCCCAAGGTTTGTGTGAGCCCAGTTTGCTCAAGGCTGCTCAAAACTGTGACTGCCGCCCACTCCTGCTAGCCCAATCTGTTATGGAGGGGTGCATTGTGCCAGGAATGCCACCACCAATTGGGCCGGGGGGGGAGAGTGGCCATCAGTTTTGAGCGGGCTTGGGCAAAATTGGTTCACACCAAGCCCAGGCCCATCTTTACTTACAAGGGTCCAAGACAAATCTAGTTACTAGGTGTATAACTCGCCAGTTCAGCGAGTATATGTGCAGTACATGCTGTTCTTGAGGCTTGAGAAGCTATGACACATATACAACCCCTCATTTGGGAACAAACCTTTTTAGCAGTATAATGGATTATTAAACTAATAATATTTTTTGTCACTAACTGAAGTGCATAGTTGCATAGTTTATTACTTGGGTGCACTTGCTCTTGGCTGATTCTGTATTGTTTCTGGAATTTGGGAGTGTTCATAGGTGTGTCTACATCACATTGTATTTATAGTATTACAATGTACTTGGCTTATGCTTTGTAGCTGGTATGCATTGACTGGGAAATACAATTGCATTTGTTATGCAATGCTTGAGGTTAATATTAAACTTGTCCACTTGCCTTCCCTTCCTTTTTTTTCTACTTTAGGACATTTTAATATACTGTCTACAATGTGTCTAATTTCTGTATTTGCAAACACATATTAAAGGACTAACAAGAAACTAGGGGTGTCATAAAACAAAGTGGATATCACTCGGTAGCTATGTTAAACTTTTATTTTTAATTACAAAAATGCATAGAGGGGAATTTATCAAACCTGAAGGAGACCGAATCTGAAGCAGCTGTCTGTGGCAACCAATCAGCTTCTTACTTCATTTTGAAAGCTTAACTAAACAAACTGAAGAGAGAACCTGTTTGCTTGCTATGCAGATCTGCTCCAGCTTCTGTCTGCTTCAGCTTTGATAAATTCCCTCCATAGTGTCTTTGCAAGCTGAGCAGACAAATGCCATATCACATCAGCTCAGCATCCATTCCAAAAGACAATGCTCTATTCCTGTCCCTTGACCACAGGGGTCGTTAATCTTGTTCAGCAGGTATTACTGCATGCAGTGTTTTGTGTAGGAGAACACTAAACCTGGCCATACAGTTCTCAAATTTGGCTTTAGACTTTTGTCAAAAGAAGCAGGTGGAAAATTGTTGGCTGAACAGTGGCTGCGACCTAATGGCTGCAGTCACTGTTCAGGTATTCTGACAGCCGAGGGTGCTGGTTATCGGTATACAGTAGACTGGAAGGGGGATTGTACCATCCACAGTGTTTAGCATGGAAAAGTTACATAGTTATAGTATTTGAGGTTGAATAAAGACATTAGTTCATCAAGTCCAACCTAAAAGTAAGTAAGTTAAAAGTACATTGGGAAAAGGTTAAAAGTACATGACCAGCTTAAAATGAAATTTAATTATTTAGTATTGGTATTTATATAGCACAGACAATTTACATAATGCACTTTCACACCAGTCCCTGCCCTCAAGGAGCTTGCAATCTAAGGTTAATAGGTCACATACACACCTACTAGGGCCAATTGAGACAGGAGCCAACACGAGAACAGGGAGTGTCCTGACTGGGATTTGAACCGGGGATTTTCCCTTTTCGGCATATTGAACAGGCAGCATCCTTTTTCAAGAAAACTATAGCATCTAATAGCAAACTGATTTTCCTCCAAGTTCTTGTTAGATACAAATGTGACAAACCTTTCCATCATAAAGATCTTAGACTGGCATACAAATAAAACTACTGTTCATTTTGCTTTTATATGACAGGTATATCTTATTATAGAATAAGAGCATGGTGTGTGTGATAAAGAATCATTTTCTGATAAGCGATCTGATTTTGCTTCCCCACAGATCGGGTATACTTTTCCATCCTGTGCTCTAAACCAAAGCCCACTCCAAGCACGCATTACTTCTCCACTGATGATGAACTACTGTATGAAAAGTAAGTAAATGGGGCATGATAGAACCTTTCCGAGTAACGTACGAACACTAATCAGTTTATTGTATTATTTTTTTTCCTCCAATTAGTTTAAATCTAATTATCTGTGCTACTGTAATCCTCACACTGCAAGATCAGATGAAAATGAGCAATCTGGCTTTTCCTGTTTTTCCTTAGTAGTGCCCTGAAGACCTCTGTTATGCTCTGCTCAGAGGTGTCCCGTTGCATGGAGAATTCAGGAACTAGTCCAGCCCATATAGAGGGTTATTGTAAGGAGCTAGGAAACGTATACTTCTGTTGATTACAACTAAAAGGGCTTTTAAAGTGACTCTGAACTCAAGAGTTAAATCTTAAAAATGCATTCAAGTATCTTAACCATTAACAAAAATGTAGATTATTTGTATATCACTCGGCTGTAGCTCCTCCAATCATCTCTAAATTCATACTGACACTGTCCTTCCTTCTGGAGGGTGACTACTTTGTTCCCCATGGTACCTAATGGTTTTGTAAAGTAGCCAGTGCTACAAGCTTGCTTCCGTGATGGACTACAATCTCAACACATATTAGCATACTACATGTGAGATTGTAGTCCATCACGGGAGCGATCTTAGAGCGATGACTACTTTACAACACACACACAGGGACCATGGGGAACAAAAGTAGCAACTCTCCAGAAGGAAGGACAGTGTCAGCATGAATTCACTGATGGTTGGAGAATCTACAGAGTGGTACACAAATCGGATACATTTTTGTGAATAGTTAACTTACTTGTATGCATTTTTAAGATACAATTACTGAGATTGGTGTCCCTTTAGGCAAACCTTAACCTACCTAAACCTTCAGGGCTTGTTCACACCATGTCTGTTGAACAGCGTTTTTCTGCACGTCATTGCACAAATATGATATGAACAGTGCACATAGAAGACAACTGTTTGTATGTGCCCTGTTCACACCAAACATGTGTGGTGTTGTGCAAAAAGACCAAGCCCTTAGTGTTGGGGCCTGCTGCGGTGTAATCCATTGCGCTGCGATAAAATACAGCATGCTTGCACTGTATCACAGCACCCTGCCCATCACCCCGGCATTGTGATGTGACTGGGACACATAGAAAACATTTGTTTTTTTCTATGTGCCCTAACAGTGACCTGTGCTGATCCGGTGCGGCACCACACGTGTGAATGGGCCCTTAATGAAGACTTTTTGTCTGCACATATCGTTAACCTCTTCTGCAACACCATGAGCCTCAATGCAATCTAATATGCACATGAAGACTTTGGTTCTTAAAGTCGATGGTGGGACTGTCACCTCCCAAACGTTACTATTGGTTACAAAGCTCACATTTAAAGGCGAACTATGAGGTGAGTGAAAATCACTCATCCTCATAGATCGAACCGACGTGTGACGATGCAACTGTCACTTGTCGGCTCAATAGATCAGGAAGTGAGTGAACGCATAGCGTCGCCCGCTCACTTCTCGATCATCTCCCTGCAGAGTGACATACACTGCTCTCACGACTCCCTGCTGGGAATCCCCTTCCCCGCACTGATCCTCCAGTGTTGACTGGAGGAACGGACGGGGAGGTGGCAGGTACAGCTGGCTCTGCCTCTAGATAGGCAGAGCCCACTGTCACTCAGCCAGCTGGATGGATCTCGACAGTAATGTCGGGATCCGTCCAAGCTGTAGCTCCCTCCTATACTGAGCTTTGGGTCAAGGGAGGACGCTAGTATAAATCCTCCGGTCACCCTTAAAAGAACTATGGGGAAAAACACTTACCCCATAGTTCTCTTTTAATGTTCAGTGGGGAGCAGTCCAGCCATCAAGTTTAGAAATTGAGGAGTAAGCTTTCTCATAGTGGTCTGTGTCTTTGCAAGTACCGCAATAAAGCACATTCTAAAGGATAAGGCATATTATTAGTATACTCTACCCAGCAAGTGTCCTGTAGCTTTGACAATTGGTGTTTGCTTTATGTTTAGTCATTAGACTTTATGTGTATTGTGTTCAATGATTTGATAGACCTACATGAATGATTTCCACCGTTCCATAGTTACCATTGACTGAGTGCATTACATTGGCAGCTCTGATTGATGTATTACATCAGGATTACTGATTACATGTGTCATGTTAGTTTTACAAATGCTTTAATCTGAGATGACTTCTACATGACATGTCAAGGGAGGAGAGATGCGTGTTTGTTTTGCTGTTGCGTGTTAAAAGTTCTATTCACACCCTTGTGTTTCAGGTATGCTCTATGGGGTTTTTTCAGCATGTGACGTATGTGCTTTCTGGAGTCTGAAGCAAAGATGCAGAAGGAGAATTTTTATTTATCAGACCACAAATGCATAGGTGTAAATAAAGCTGTATTGTGGGATAATAGTTCAGTTTTTACACCCAAAATCAGACTTGACAGTGAAGGGGGAAAAAAATCAGCTTTTAAAAACATGCTTAATGAGGCATTCCAGGATTTATTAAAATTAACCATTGCTGTGGGATTACCCTTGCTAGGTTTACATGCTTGTTTTGGTGTAGGGATCAAAATAAAGGAGAAATGGTCCTTGGTTCCCCCTGGCTGTTAGAGCGGTCCCTCCAGCCTCTTCTCCCCTGGGCTCCAGCAGTCTAAGGACCTGTGACGTCATCACGTGTAATTAGAAGTGCACCGAAATAAAAATTTCGAAACCGAAATAAAAAAAAGTCCGAAACCAAAAATGTTTTTTATTTTAACTTTTTTTTTAAATATTTTTTTATTTATCAACTTTTTAATATTTTTATTCTTTTTTTTTTTTTAAGTTTTTACTTTTCCTTTTTTAAGGGGCTTCGGGGAAATATTAGCGGTCTAAACAGACTCCACCAAAGTGTACCTGTTGCCCTTTTAATGTGTTTTAATGAGCTAGAAATATTTCCTCATAGCCACCAGTCAGATCCAGATCTGCCCTAAAAGTTTGATTTCAGATTGGTGGCTGTAACAAAATGATTTTTAGTAAGAGAGGGTTTTAACTCGGCTTTTTTCGCCATCTGTGTTCCATTGGGGAAATTTCTCTTCACTTCCTGTCCAATAGCCACCACAGGAAAGGAGATACAATCTCTTGAAAGTGAGGGAAATCCCTGGTGGTCAGCGGGGTCACCAGAACTAGTGTCCCCAGTTTGGGATTTCCCATCTATTCCTGTTCTGGTGACAACCCATATATTGGAATTTTCTTCTTTCAGTACAGTCACCAGGACAAATGGAGAGGGCGAATCTCCCTTATGGGGGACACAGACACAATAAAAACCTGACAGGTGTTCTAATCCCAATATACGCTACTAAAAAAAAAAAAAAAAATATATAAAAATAAAGTGACTGCGCCCAACCATTCCCTATCCAAACTTTAAAAAAACAAACAGGTTTGCTGAAATATACTTTAACCCCTTCACAATCACAAAAACGAATGTAAAATTCCCCTTGACGAGAGAATGTTACTTAACCTTGCAGCAGAGAACTTGGAATGCACAACTGTGTGGGTTCTGGTTCTCAGACCCGCTGTCAAAAATACAGATTAGTCATATAGTTCTTGTTTTGGTTCAGGTTTGCTGATGTACAGTGGCCCTGCTAAACCTGGACCTAGAATTTATTTATGCAGACTTGAAAGGCCCACTTTAACTGTTTACATTTCAGATTTCTGCCCGCTCCATATAAATTCCCAAGGCAGATTTTAATGTCTAAATGGATTTGCATGAAGTCATAGCAAAGTGTTTTAAAAATATACAGCTTTATCGAACAAGGTGGGTGTGGATTTCCATAAAAATAAAGGCTATGCTTGGACACCGTAAGGAGGGGGTCGCAGATGTGCGGACATCACTTCCTGTTTGTTTGCTGCTGCTGTATCAGGCTAAAATTCCCATAGTTTAATCGGCATTCTGTAGGAGGGTTTGTGGTGGATCAGGCATGTGTCAGTCATGGCCTTCTGATTTAGTGGACAGTACAGAGACTCACTCTATAGCTAGCAACACCATTATTGCATCAGTAAACCTACGGCATGGATGTTGTACAACCGGTGGCCTGGTATGCACACAACAGCCACTGGTCATACAATGGGAAAATAAGGGAAACAATGCCGCATTATGCAGAGTACAGGGAGCTGCCTTGAAGCGCAGCATTAGATTCACAATGAAGGGCAGATTTGCTGAAATGACCTTTTTTTATGATGCCCAAAGGTTTCTGCCCCGACCTTCAGTTTTAATCCAGTGTAAACTATTTCCTAATCGCTGTTCATGTTGTAATTCTATGTATCGATTTCTTTTCTTCTAGCTTCTATGCGGACTTTGGACCACTTAACTTGGCCATGCTGTATAAATACTGCTATAAGCTAAATAAGAAAATGAAGGTGAGTTTTGCTGCAAAGTGAAAAAGACGAAGATTAGCGATAGAACTGTCAGCAATGTTTTGGTGAGATCTGTGATTGAATCTGCCATTCATGACATTCTTTGCTGTTAATGAGCCATGTGGGATGGTAAGCAGTGCAGGAATTTAAAATATGTCCATGCCTACATAGAGGATACTTAACTTTTCCGTGTGACATTTTAAAGATGCAATATTACACAATACAAGTATTTAAAAAAAAAAAAAAACCCTTCCTTTTTGCTCTAAATAGTTACAGTTGCTGTCTTTTTGTATTATTGGACATTACGGTTACCTGTAACATCTACTATTGCTGTTACTGATGGCATGCTGTTAGGTTGCAGCCTCAATTCCCTGTGAGGGAGAATCATAAATGTTACAGTTGAAGGACTCTGCGTTTACTGTTGGGCTCACTTAGGAGCTTGGAGATGTGTGCATTATCAGCACGGAGCCAGGCGGTTAACAGAACAGCAGCTGTCACAATTCAAGAGGGTCTTTGTCTTCAAGCAAACTAAATGATGGTAGATAACCCTCCAACACCCTATTCCCTGCTGGCTCCTAAACAGTTTACCTGAATTCCAGTTCTTGCATTGCTAGGTGCACCACTCTGTTAATGTTAGCATGCTGTGATCTGGTGATTTGGCTACTCATGCAGTGAGCACTGCATTGTGGGAAGGGAAACGTAGTGTTGCATGTCGCTGCCCATAGAACAGAGTGCAGTAGTGCTAGTAGTATCCTTATCCACCCATGGGCAGGGGAGTGGGTTGTTTTTTGGAGACATGTTTAAGTCAAAACTCAACTGACAAAAAGTGGAATGATTCATTATTCAGTATTCTCTGATATTTATCTTTTGCTTTACGGGGAGAAAGCCAGCATTGTATCTTTTGTTGTGCAAAAAACGGCCACCCGTATGGCTACCCTCATACACACTAGAAGGCTTTAAGTGATTAAACCACTGGCATTTGCCCAAACCTAGACCTTTTAAATGAATAGTGTTACTAGAAGATGTAATAAATGAGGGCACTTCCTAGATAAGCAGGGAATCACCAGCACTCAGTAATGAAAGCAAATTTGTCCTTTTATTGGACAGAGGCGTCATAGAAATCAAAAGAAGGCCCCATTCACACTGTGCGATTCGCAAATTGCGCGATTTGTTGCGCGATATCGCGCAAATGCTTGCATTGAGCAAGCGAGAATCGCGGCAAAATCCGCTCCAAAAAGGGTCCTGCTGTAGCGACACACGACCCGCGACAGCAGGACCCTTTGCCCCATTGAGATGCATTGGAGAGCGATATCGCGCGGTAAATAGCCGCGATATCGCAGGAATTACCGCGCAATAAATCGCTCAATGTGAACGGGGCCTAACAGACGTTTCGGGGCCGCGCAGGGTCCCTTCCTCAAGGTAGAAAACATGACAAACATCACCAGGATTGAGTGCTGGTGATTCCCTGCTTGTTCTGTGTCTGCACGGCGCCATCCGTGAACCAATATCACTGTGAGCACCATCTTTTCTTGTTTGGCCGGGACTGCTGTGAGGTGTGCGGAGGGCTCCCCCAACGACCTACATCGGCACTTCCTAGATAGACTTGCTTTTGACTAGGCAAGATGAAGGCACGTGGTAGTTCTTGGTTTAAATTTAATCTGGCAACGATAAATGTAGGAGGTGCTGTAAATTGCCATGTCATTGCCGTTCTTCTGAGGAGCATATACTAAATAGGAACCACTGACTTCTACATCAGTACATGGTAACCAGCAGAGAGATGGGTAGCTGAATTTGTATGTAAACCTTGACTTTCCATGGTAAAAGTCAAGCTTAGCCTTGTCGTATTGGTCAAAAAAAAAATATTTTTTTTAATATAGGAAAAGTCAAGATTTGCATATAATGGTAAAATAAGATTAGTAGCTGTGGATGTTAAAATGATTTCCTTGTAAAAGTAGTGGCGTCATCCCTGTGCTGCACATAGCCCAAGCAGAGCTTTGGGAGAGACTACTGGCTGCCTGCAGAAAACTACAGAAGGGGGCGGATACAAGACCAGTCACCCTGCACCAGGAGGGAGAGCAGCACTGACTGGTCTGTATAACATGATTTCCTGTACAGAAGCAAAGTTTCACATTGGATTATTCCACAGATCTTGAATCTTGGTGTGCTTTGTGTATTTCTTCCAGAATTCACATGGTTCTTGTATTTTAGACAAAACAGTTTCAAGTTTTTACAAGGAGACCAGTGTAACTGGCATAAGGGAAATAACTGGGTAAATGTGAATGGCTGAGTTTTCAATGTTAATTGGGGAAATAAGGATGGGAAAGAATAGAGCTGAGAGAAATGGTTGATATGGAGGTGAAAATACTGCTGGGGCATAGAAGGCGATATAGGTATGAGATAGGTTGGAGAATAGTTGACCATGATTAGCCTGTTATTCAGGGCCTTGATTCTGGTGTGATGTAATAATTACAGGAAAAAGGGATACCTAGCATTGTCTAATTTTGGGGCAGGTCCAAAAAGATCTTAAATAGCATGACTTTACTGGAATCATTACTGCCTTCCTTTTATACTTTGCATTTTGTTATCTTCTGGCATAGCTGTTTTCATGTTCCTTAATTACACTATTTTGTTTTATTTTAGTCCTTTGCTTTGACAAAGAAGAAGATTGTCCATTACACCAACAACGACCCGAAAAAACAAGCCAATGCTGCCTTTTTAATAGGATGTTTTGCTGTAAGTCTTTGAATTAACATGTGACACCATGCTGTCTGCAGTAGGCATTTAGCGCTTGTTAGATAACTTTTTAAGAAGTAAATGCTTCAAACTATTGTAACCCTGTAGATGTTAGATTGGTTGGTAGGGCTTCCTTGATTTTAATCTGAACAGTATGCTAAAGAGGTTGATGGATGTCTGACAGTGTAAAGCTTGGTGATGGATTGTCAGAATGGGGCCTGAGGCAAGGTAGAAGGTCCCTCCTCTCCATCTCTGGATTGACATTAAGAATTGCAAAAGTCACAGAGAAGCCTCCTTATTTGGCCTGCCAAATTTGGATGCCAAATATCTTAAAGGGCTTCCTTCCTTATAAACTGACAGGCAAGTGCATGGCTTTATACAGCTGTGCAATCCCCCCTGGTATACTGCAGGAACAAGAAGGTTGTAGCTGGGCCACTGGACATCCAGTTTGCCTTGTGGATGATCCGGCTCTGATAAATCTTATGACTTCAGCAAAGGGTTAAAAACCCCTGAAAAGGCTAAAACACATTAAAATGACCAATTTCAGCAGTTCCATCAAAGTAGTCAAATTTGTCTGTGCTAACTGCAGCAACTGGCCTTCCCCGATCAATTAATATGTCATGTTATAGAAATTTAGGCATTTTGATGTGGCATGAAATGAAGATTAATCTTTGCTTTAAAGGTTAGTTTTTTATCGATTTGAGTTAAAATGTCATGCAACCACTTGAGCTTTATTTTCAGAATATTGATTCATTTGAATATTGATCACTCATGTATGTTGACAGTAATGATCTAAATTGATCAGTATTCAAATCTATGATCGATTTGTGTATTGTTGTAGATCTGGCCTACATATTTTACTTTTAAGACATTTAAATTAAAGCAGCTATAAGTACAAGCAAGCTTTTGTAAAATGTTAATATTTCTTTAACTCTTATTCTCCAGATAATATACTTGAAGAAACTCCCTGAGGAAATGTACAGAATCTTACAGTTGGGAAATGTTTCTTACCTTCCATTTAGGTAAGACTATATCTTTTACATGGCTATATACTCCTTGCATTATGGTTCCTTTTGCTGATTTCTTGTAGTTTGAAATAAACACAGAACCATGTGTTCTGTGAATCAACAGGCGATGGATTTCCAAATCCATCCTTCAGCCTTTCATGGCTTTCTGATTGTGTATACCAGTGTATAATTCATATATGGCTTATTATTCCTTTTAATGTCATTTTCATAGAGTGGTTGCACAGAATAGGGACCTTTTTTCCACCCCCTGCATTTTATTTGTTGTGCTGTGTCTTACCTTCATCCCTTTTGACAGATGCTCTTGCCGGAAACCGTACCAAAGATTTTTAAAAGTGCTCAATGCTAAAATCTGATCTGTGCCAATCTTGGTAATGGCTGCACTCCTTCCTATAAGAATTGTGCCAGTCTTGCCCCATCTGGCTGCAAGGAGTTATGACCCTAGCTCTTCTCCACTCCATCCAAAACTTAAAAAAAAAAAAAAGTTTTCAAAATACATTGCCTGGCCCCCAAAAAAGTTACTACCTGGAATTCGCTAATCAAATGGGCAAGAGCCGTTCATTGGATAATTAATCTAGGTTCAGCAATGTTATGTCACCAAAAAAAAGGTCAGCTGATTATACTGAATGACCAAGTTTCTCCATCAATGGATTTTTGTTTTCCTTCCTGTTGACACGTGCATATTCCAATGCCAGGATTCATGGGAATCAAAGAGTGGTACAGGGAGCATGAGACCTCATTTTTACACCTGCATTGGCCACCAAAGAGTCCAGACCTTATCCCATTGAGAATCTTTGGGATGTGCTGGAGAAGACTTTACACAGTGGTCTGACTCTCCCATCATCACTACAAGATATTGGTGAAAAATTAATGCAGCTCTGGATGAAAATAAATGTTCTGACATGAAAATGATGTCATGGTGAATGTGTGCCGTAATCAAAGCTAAAGGTGGTCCAACAAAATATTAAAGTGTGGGACTTTTTATTGGCCAGACTGTGTATTTTAATTCAAATCAGTTGCATACTTTTTTTGTTTGCACAGGTCACTGCCCCACAGTAGAAGAATGCGTCCTCTGTACATGATTTGTTTTGTTTTATGCACTATTACTTCATAATTCAATACTACTTTTTGATTATACTTTGCAATGTTTAATCATTTTTTTTCCCTTTATTTTATTATATCCTTGTAGAACCACAGGAGTAGTGTAAAACCATTTGCTTCATTGCAGTGGTCTGTTAACAAAGACCTAACATGATTGATTGCTGTGTGTTGCAGGGATGCCTCGTTTGGTACCTGTAGTTTTCATCTAACTCTTCTTGACTGTTTCCACGCTGTTCACAAGGTGAGTTGTCAAAGGAATCTCATTTCTTACAGTGAAAAAGCTACAGGAAGGATGGGAGAAAAGGAGCAGAGAAAAACACAAAAGTCAAGTCTAATGACTCCACAGACAGTTATAGCTGTGGCGTACTGATCTGGGTAGTACAGGTCTAGTAGATGACTTGCCGTTAATTAACCCCTGCCCCGCTTTATTGATTATATGATTGTGAAGTCCTTTTTAAGTGTGTCCTATGTACAAAAGCTTTCTGCAAACAGTCAGATTTGATCTATCAGATGAGCAAAATTTTCCAACAGCTGTGTAGTATGAGGATCTACCCCCAACAATTAATCCGTTTTGGTAAAAATTAATGAGCAGGCAGATAAAAACTGGAAAAAAGTATTTGTGACCGGTTTAAAACTGACTTCCAGATGAAGAGAAAATAACCCCAATGAATGTATCCATTAAAAAGTATATTTTTAAATTCAGATTGTGAATACCCAATCTGACTAGGTTATTGGTTTCTGTTTATTCCTTGTAGAGATGTATTCAGACTGAGAAGGGAAGGTAGCAGTTTAGCTACTACCAGATGTGCTGTTTGCAAATATAATGACAGGGAATGTGATGATGGGAGGAAAGAGATTCTTCAGTCTGTTGCTGCTACTTCACTGTTCATTCACCAGCTAAAGGCAGAGAGGTGACCTAACTGGAGTAGAGAAAAGTCAGTTGATTAGCTTTACTGTCTTGTTTGGCATTCTCTGGACTGGCTGGACAAAAGAGCCAATTCTTTTCCAAGTAAAGCCCTTCCCTTATATATATTTCAGCTATGCATTTAGCCAATTACCTGAACTTCAGCTTTAATGCTGTCTATACACCTAGAATAGTCTTCATTAGTCTTGTTTAATGTGGCACTAAACTCAGGAGTCAAATCTTAAAAATACATGAATGTATCTTAACTATTAATAAAAATATACCTCCAAGCCCTCTCCAGTGATGCCCTGCAATCGCAATACAAATTGGTAAACTAAATGTGAGCTTGTAGTCCATCACGGGAGTGAGCTTGGAGCGGTGACTGCTTCACAACACACACACAGGGACCATGGGGAACAAACGTACCCACCCTCCAGAAGGAAGGACAGTGTCAGCACCAATTCAGAGATGAGTTGAGGATCTACAGCCGAGTGATACACAAACAAGATACATTTTTGTTAACCGTTAAGATACTTGAATGCATTTTTAAGAATTAACTCCTGAGTTTAGAGTCACTTAAAGATCTTACTCTTCTATTCTTGCTATACCCTCCTGTGTTCTAGACATCTCCTTTATGGAAGGATGTCCTGTACCTCTGGAGCTGGATTTCACAGGGTGTTTTATAGACGATGTAAACTGGCATTCATTAATCAAGCAGATATCTAGAAATCTATAGAGATTGTAGCATATCATTTGTACAGACATTTTCTGACACGTCTGATTTGGATCACCCCATTTCCACCCCAAACCAGTATACGGTTTAGTGACTATTGTGCTGCATTATAACATTTGTCGCTTTCCTGAAATGTGGCCTTTTTGTTTGACATTCTCTTTGACTGCAAAATATAAAATCTACCATTAATATATTTCATCAATGTAGAGCTGACATTTTCACTGTAGCTGGTAATGTTGGTGTTAGTATGTGTGAGGTTTTATTTTTTTTATGGTGGTTATTCTATTTTTTTTTTTTTTTTTGTAGGCTTTCCAGTATGAATTCTTTGATTTTAGAATTTTTGATCTGGAGGAATACCAGCATTATGAGGTGAGATTTCCAGCAATTTATTTAGAAAGTTTCCTGGCTAGTCATCAGCCTTCTTGTCATTACAGGAAACCTCAAAGACAGCACTGTCTCTCCTATATTAACCTGATCACTTTTTTTGTTTTCTCATTTAGAGAGCTGAAAATGGGGATTTCAACTGGATAATCCCACTGAAATTTCTAGCTTTTAGTGGACCTCATCAAAAGAGTAAAATGGAAAATGGTATGTAGTAAATAAAACAAAAATGATGTAAAAAGCAGGGTTGGTACTTATAAGAATCTAAAGAAGTACCATGGAAAGGGTTTGTTGAAGGCAGGCCAGGAGGAATGTGCATCTTCTGGCCTGCCACAGTCATTGGTATTGTATTTATCATTTTAAAGTAAAGCTATCATTAGATTTGTGTGGGGCTGACATTGCTGACCACAGCAATGCTTGTGAAAAATACTGGACAGGTTTGCTTTAAAGAACTCTGCTGCTTTAAAAAAAAAAAAGTTGCCTGCAAAAGAAAGCTCTTTAGGCAGGCATCAAATATATTGTATGATTTATCATACAATATATCTGTACAGTGTGTTGCAGTGTTATTTGTTCTGATTGGAACAGCAAAGCAGAAATACAGTAGGGGCTGACTGGCCTGTGTTGCTGCGTTCCCCAAAGCAATGCGTGTTTTAGTACTTTGAGATAAAAAATGTCTGCAGATCCTGTTTTTCTTGCTCTGTGATGCGTTGGCAGCCCGTTCCGAATTAATGGACTGACTTAATGCATTGTGCAGCACAGAATGCTTTAACACATTGCTAAGGTGTGCTGGGGCTCTCCAGTAGGAGGAAAGTCCTCTTGTAGTGCTCATCAAGGACCCTTTGGAAGAATCTTTACATCTGGCAATTCTGGTTGTCTGATGCCTGGGTCACAAGCCATGCACTGTGGTTCCTCCAGTCTGCTTCTACACCCATACTTTGTATGATAGGGACTGGCCTATGAAAACAGAGTGGGGGGGCCAGGCATTGGACACACTTCTAATGCTCAAGCTGCCAGAAGCCATAGCCTATTAAGAAAGAACTCGCTGCCCTTTGGAGAGGTAAGTCTGTATTAAGGACATTCTTTTCCAGGCAACCTTTTTTAGTAATGCTTTTTCAAGTGACATTTGCTCTAAGTTCCTTCACAGCTATGTGGCAATTCATCCATCATTTTCTCTTTTCAGGTTACCCTCACCATGCTCCAGAAGCCTACTTCCCATACTTCAGAGCACATGACATTTCTACTGTTATTCGCCTTAACAAGAAAATGTATGACGCAAAGCGGTTTACAGATGGCGCCTTTGAGCACCATGACCTTTTCTTTGTCGATGGAAGTACACCTTGTGATTCTATATTGAAGAAGTTTCTAAACATCTGTGAAAATGCAGAAGGCGGTATAGCTATACATTGCAAAGGTTTGTACATTTTATTTTAAACGGTACATTTTCTCTTGTAATTTTTGTTTGTTACACTGCCACCCACTTGGATCAAGTTTTCCTAAATTCTCTACCAATCTATTTTTTTAAACTCTGTAGTGGTTACATGACCAACTACATGCAAAATCATTGTGTATTACAAAAAAAAAAAAAAAAAATGTAGACTTCGGTTTTGGTACGTCTCATTATACTGTTCTTTTATTGTATTTGACCCTTTTATTGACTGCCATATAAGCTGGGCAAACAATTTAGAATTTTGGTTGGTCAAGTCTTTAAAACGTTTCACCTGTTTAATAACTAAAACCGTAATAAAGGATACATTCCTAGATCTTATCCACATTAGCACATAAGGTACCTGCATATTTCTGTTGCTTGTAAAGTAATTAAATGGTTGGCTAAACACATAAAACATACATCCTTTGTTGCTATTTCTGTGCCTCATGGCATCCTACATTGCTCTGTTGAAAGCCCTAGCATCACTTCTGTGAATCTTTCTGCTTTTTTCTAATTTGCGTTTTGTTTTGTTTTTTCTATTTTCTCAGCTGGTCTAGGGAGGACAGGTACCCTCATTGCATGCTATTTGATGAAGCATTACAGAATGACAGCGGCAGAGACCATTGCTTGGATTCGGATATGTAGACCTGGATCTGTGATTGGTCCGCAACAGCAGTACCTTGTGGAGTAAGTATTGTCAACAATGGGCACTTTCTCTGTTTTAAAACTAAACCCTGGGTACAGCAGTAAAAGCAAAGTTGCAAATGTAGAGCTCAACCGAAGATGAAAGCGTATGTGGTTTACTTTTATAATGTGTCCACTTCCCAAAAAAGTACTTACTTTGGTTCAGTCTATTACTCCCCAGCCAAGCCATCCCTGGTAACGGGTTTCCTCCCTGCTCTCTCTTCCCAAATGATCTAAGAACTACTAGATTACAGCAGTGAACTCCCTAATAACAGACATAGCAAGGGCACACAATGGACCTCTGATTCTCTACCCAGCTCCCTGTAAAAAAAACAGTGGGTAGGAGAGTTGATTGAGTGTAATGTGATCGGTATTCTGTATATCCGTCACTACCCTTTTCACACCAACAAAGCCAGCCCACATATTACTACTGCCTCAACCTGCATGTCAGGAAGTGTAGTCCAATAAGAAGAAGCTATGTTTCGATGATGTCATATATTTCCAACCATAGTCGAGCTCAGGATGGAGGTTTCAAAAGTCGATGTGGATAGGCAGAAATAGTTTTGGAGAAATTACCTTTGAAACACTTTGGCAGCTGTGAGGCCATCAAACCGTTCTTTAAGAAGCACTAAGATGTGACAATAAAGGTAAACATTTGCCAAAATAAAGGAAGTATAGCCAGCTGAATCTTTGCACAGAATTTTGTATTTGGTCTTTACATTTTCATCTAATTGATGAACATATTTTTTCTTTAACTTCCAACTTCTTCTGATCTTTTCATTCAAATACTCACAGCCATTAACATTGCTTTGATTTACCCAGAAAGTTGTGTCCAGAATCTGCTGGTTTTTTTTTTTCATGTAGGTATGTTTTGTTTGACCTACAAAGCAATGTTCAATGTAATTGTATTTTAAAAGATCTGATAATAGACTTACCATTTGAACAGGCAGACTTTGCAGGTGTGGTTTTTTTTTTTTTTCCTTTCTCTTACTGTTCTTTTGTGAGCTACTGAGATCCATCCTTCCATTTGCATTTCTATTTTGTAAATATTGGGCTGTCTGCATGTGGAAGTATATCCGGTAAGGAACCCCCTTTGTCCCTTGAGAAATGTATTTTGGATTTCAGTATAGATAATGTTGAGAGGGGGCTGCTGGAGTGCGCCTATGGTGTTTTAAGCAAGCAAATGAGCCTTTGGATGGAAGGAGACATTTATCGCAAGAAGCAGAGCGAGCAGAAAAATGGAAACAAAGTGTCCATGACATTTATAATGTCTGGAGTAGATGACATTTCTCTTCAGGATGATCTGAGCAAAGCTTCTGGCAAAGAAGACATTGAACTGGTAATCTTTTGTAAATATGTGATATCAGATCATTTCAGAATCTTCAGTGTGAATAAAAACTGCGGAGAACAAGTCAAGAATTATGCTGTTCAGTGCTGTGGGTGATGTTAAGGGATGTACTGTACAGGTAACTGTAGACATTGAATGACAGTCTCCCAATGTGGCTTGGTGACTTTTTTTTTTTTCCCCACTTTTTTTGTTTTTGTTTTTAGTTGGGGGCTTTGTGGAAATATCAGGGGTCTAAACATTTCTCTTTTTAAATAAATTAAAAAAAAGTTAAAGTTGAGGGCACAGAGTCCTCAATCTCTTTTTCTGCAGCCCAAGCACTCAGCGAACAGGAACAAAGTACAGAGGCTTCCTGTTCATTCATAAATCAATGTGATAGTAAAGTGATACTATGTCCACAATTGTGAATGAACAGGGAGTGATGTAGAGCACTTCCTATGCATTCATATTTGGGGATACTATGTCCTCAGTTATTTGCAAGCATCGTATGATCAGTACTGATAAATATTTCACATATTTGCCAATCCTCCACTCTCCATCCTGAGCCGCACCACCCCTCCCTGCTCTCTATCTTGACATCTCCCGGTTGTCACAGCTGATTATTTCTCCTCCCCACTGGCACTGGCTGCAGCAGTCTGTGTTCCAACCAATCCCTGCTGCCAGGGAGAGCAGCAGGGAACGGAGGGGTCACATACCGCAGCATTCTCATTGATTTATTATCTACAAAATTGATTTGTTGTTTTAGTCCTACTAGTTAGGTTTATAAAGCTTTGTTCAATCAATAGTCCACTTCCAGAGGTGTCTTCAGCTCTGCTCCTTTTGCACTGTTGCATAGCCAAGGTCAAACAGTTAGCTGATGCAATCCGTCTTTCTATGTCTTATCAGAATCGTATATCCGCATAAGATCATTTAAAACCAATTGGCCACACTTATTGATATAAATTACTTTTAAAACCAGTGCTTGCTTTGGTCCACTCAATCTATATGTAGATTACATAGGCAAGGTTTACAAACTCATTCCAAGTACCAGCTGACATCCATATGTTCTAGTGGAAATCTGGATTTATCTTCCCTACCTTTCTTAAGAACCAAAAGTTAAAAAATTTTCACGCAAAATTAATTTGAAAATGAACTTCTGCTTGAGAAAGCGTAAAGCCTTCTGTCGCATGTTTTACAAGGTCGGGAGTCTCGCATTCCCACTATGTCATGTCAGGAAGTAGAAAGTTTGACCCTTTTAGGTAATATGGCCTGCCTTTTCCTGCATGCTGATACATTTAACTTGTTTGTATACTAAACTGCAGCAGAGTTTCTTTTCTTTATTTCACTACCACTTTATCAGTCATGGTGTTTTATTTTTACAGTACAGTACAGATGATGAAGAAGTCAATGGTATGACTCAGGGCGATAAGCTCCGTGCCTTGAAGTGCAAGCGACAGACAAGAAAATCATCAGCAGCTCCTTTGTCGTAAGTTTGAACCATTGATCAAGTTTCTATTAGGCCATTTTGACTCCCTGCTAGTGCTGCAGCATTTATTTTTAAATTTGCACCACAAATTGAAAGCATCTGTAGTTGAAATATAAGGTTGTACCGTATCCGTTCTTTCTTGTAGTGTAGCAATTAACTGTCTTGTCTTAAAAGCTTTAGTCAAGGTCTATAGCCATTCAGTGACCAGCAAGTTGTCCTCTACATTGTAACTAGATTGCTTAAGCTAAATATTAGGAGTTCAAAAACTTTGACAGTATTTACTGCTAGAATTTACGGGAGCATGTGGAGAATATAGCTTGTGGCATGGTTCTGGGGCCTGTCACCACTAGGGGCAGATCACTCCGTTAGATTCCTGTAGAACTTTCACAGTCTGTTGGGAGATTGAAAATGTAATAATTCATTTTCAGTCCAGGTTTCTTTTTTTTTTCCTGGACTTGATATAAAGGTGACTGCAAATTCTCATGGTCTGTCGGTTTTGTGCTCACTATAATTGACCATTGCTGAGTTATATGATTTTGGTAACTGAATTTAGGTGTCGGTTTACCAAATCCTTTTACGATCAGCAGTCTATATTATGTTTTATATTTTTTAACGTTAAGGTTTATTGAATGCTGTTAGTATCATTGACAGGGTTATTCACAAAAGGGTGAAGAGTTTGGAGAAGGCAGGAGAAGTGAACAATTTAGGACAACTTAACTGATTTGGAAAAAATGTCCAATTCAGCTATGTTGTCCTAAATTGTTCACTTCTCCTGCCTTCTCCAAACTCTTCACCCTTTTGTGAATAGACCTGTAAGTGTCTTCACATTAAAACTGGTATACAGTAAGATTTGTATGTAATGATACACGCGAGATATTGAAGTGGATTTTCAACAATATAGACATCTGAGCTATCAGACTTCATTTGCTTGCCTCAAGTAAATTTTGTACTTTGCCTTAGTGGGGCAAAGTAATGATTTAATTTAAATGCCCCCACTAGCTGCATATATTTGCCTTCTCGTCACTCCTTTCTCCCACAATGCAGAGTTTGTTTGGCGAGCGACAAACACCAGCAGTGTCACATGTAGGTTCTGGCAAGAATGACTTGGAGCTTAACACGGGGCTTTTTTTTTTTATTGTAGCTAAGGGCTAAGAAATCATGGGAGATGCTCTTGGCAGATATAATGTGTAACCTCTACTCACAGAGACTGGTATAAAAGCGGAAGAGGCAAAGGGACTAGGCAATTGTAATACACTTATTATTAAAGTGTGTAAGTAGGCTTGTGTTCAGTATATGGTATTGTATTGGTGCCAGGTATAAATTTAAAGCATGAACAAACATGCACATTAACATCTGTTCTAACAGTGTTTCTGGCTCCTTAAGTTTACACCCGCCAACCCATGGGATGCTGTATGCAATATCGGAACATATGTTGTACTCAGTTTAATTAGGGCCTATGTTTGCTCACTTCAGAAGGGTTTTTGCATTCCCATACAAGTCTGTAGGAATACAAAATGTATTTGAAGCAGAGCAAATGCACCTGTCCATGAATTCTGAATGATCTTCATTTTAAAATGTCAGACTGGTGCCATTGACACAGACCCTTACTGTTTATATATTTTAAGATTGCCATGCACATACTGATTTTAGCTGATTGGGCCACATTTTCTGTATGTTGTTGTCGTCGTCATCATCATCATCATATGTGTGTGTTCATCAGCGCTGACGTTTTAACACTCTTTAATTGAATAGGTTACCTGTTTGTAAACAGCCTTTTTTTTTTTTGTGGGCGATTATACTGTATGTGTAAAAGTTTGGTACTCTGCAAGAGTTTGTAGACTGCCATAAAGCAATAAAAGTCACAAATATGAAAGGGTAATTCCAGATTCCCACCACATGTGGGAAACCGAAATTACCCCCACAAATTGGGCCCCTCTGTCCAACCAGCCAACCATTCCCCACACCATCCCAACGCATACCTTTTTGGGGGATCTACCATTCTCTTCCACATCTCCCCTTCCAACGGCAGCCATACAATTCATACACGGCAGCTGACCAATGAACACTCGCCATATGCAAACATTATCCTATACAGGCAGTCCCCGAGTTACGGACGTCCGACTTACGGACAATCCATACTTACGAACGGGGTCCACAACTGTGGCTGCAGCAACCTGTGTCCTTTAAATCCCCGCTGCTCTCCGCGCCTGTGTTGGCGGAGGCAACAGGGACACAGACCTTTGCATACCGCCGATGCCCCACGTACCTCCGCTGATGTGCTAGCTTGCTCTTCAGCCGCTCCGTCGGCTTCCCCCGTCCGCTTCCCTTCCACGATCCTCCGGTCTCCTGGTCTGGCCGCGGCTCCTCTGCCCTGCCCCCCTGCCTACTCTTCATTGCAGGCTGAGAGCCATACACAGCCTGCTATTGGATATTGTAAAATGCAATAGCCAATAGCAAGCTGGCTATTGCACCCGCCCCCTGTCTGCTGTCAATTAGCTTGGGGGCACCTGATAGAGAACTTTCTGCTTCAGGCCCCTCCTCTGCTGATTGGCAGTGGGCAGATGCAATAGCCAGCCTGCTATTGGCTATTGCAATTTGAAATATCCAATAGCAGGCTGCTTATGGCTCCCAGCATTAAAATACAAAAAAAATTAAATAATAAAAGTATAAAAAAAATTCAACTAAAAAGACAAAAAAAATTAAAAAAAAGTAAAGAAAAAGTTAAATAAATAAAAATTAAAAATGCAAACAAATAATAAAGTTTATAAAATTAAAAATAGAAAAACATTTTTTGCTGGGTCATTTTAAATAAAAACAATTTTAATTATACAGCAGGAACAGACAGCAAAAGAACTGTGACCCTTCCCTATGCTATCCAAAACTAAAAAATGTTTTTTTTGGCTGGAGTTGCACTTAAAAAATGTACCTGTTCCGACTTGCATACAAATTCAACTTAAGTACAAACCTAAAGTCCCTATCTTGTATGTAACCCGGGGACCGCCTGTATACAGAATACCAGGCTGCAATGACATGTATAATAATTGACCGATTGTGTTATATGCATCGGTCAACATTATAGACTGCACTGTCCATTAAACACAGAGCATTTGCCCTAGAAATGGTTTAGGGCAAGTTATTTACATTTTAATGTTAGGAGATGGCTAAAGACAATTTAGCCTGACTCACTTTAGATCTTGGCCTGCCTTGTCTTAGATGCACCACATCATTTTTAAATAAACATTTTTTTTTTTTCAAGTAATACTTTTCATTTTAATTGTTAAAGTAGTCACTGTAAAAAGTCATTTTAAAGTAGTCACTGCTCCAAGCTCACTCCTGTGATGGACTAGAATCTCAAATTTAGTTTACTCATTTTAATTGGGATTGTAGTCCATCACAGGAGTGAGCTTGGAGCAGTGACTACTTTACAACACACACAGGGACCATGGGGAACAAAAGCAGCCCCCCTTCAGAAGGAAGGACAGCGTCGGCACCAATTCAGAGATGATTTCAGGATCTACAGCCGAGTGATACACAAAAAAGATTAGGGTTGCAACAACTAATCAATGAGAATCGCTAATGAGAATCGTTGTTAAAGGAGGACTATGGGGTCAGGGCTTTTCTCCATCGTTCTCCTAAGGGTAACGGGAGGACACAAACTAGCGTCCTCCCGTCACCCAAAGCTCAGTATACCGCGAGCTGCACCTCACGGTATACTGAGGCGCTGCAGCCAGGACGGATCCCGACTTTACTGTCGAGATCCACCCAGCTGTGTGATTGACAGCTGGCTCTGCCTATCTAGAGGCAGAGCCAGCTGTACCCGCCCCGTCCGTTCCGCCAATGAGCGCTGGAGGATCGGACGGGGGGGAATCCCTGCAGGGAGCCGTGAGTGACAGTCACTCACGGCTCTCTGCAGGGATAGATCGAGAAGTGAGCGACCGCCGGTATGTGTTCGCTCAGTTCCTAATCTAGTAAGCCGACCTGTGACCGTTTCATTGTCACAGGTTGGCTAGAACTATGAGGCTGAGTGATTTTTCACTCGCCTCATAGTTCTCCTTCAACGATTCTTATTATCGATTTAGTTGCTTCTGCGATTGGTTAATTTTGTTTGTTTCATGGGCTCTCCGGCCCACTCCAATTTTTGCTGCTCCCAGCCGGGATAGGAAGGGACACAGGCCCCTGCAGCTGGTGTCCAGCAGTGAGGAGAGCTCCACACCTCAATATCAACCCACCCCTGCTGCCGCTCTGCTCCCCCGTTCTCCTCCTCGCTGGGAGCCGCTGCATGCTGCGGTTTATGTCCCCTTCGACCCCTGCTGCTCTCTCTGCCTGTATCAGCAGAGTCGACGGGGATCTTAGGGTACACAGACTGCTGCAGTCGGCGCCCTGCGGTAAGAAGAGACTGGCTGTCAGCCGCTGTACCTCTGCATTCCCCCTGTGCCCCCGCTGCACTTGGTGTGCTGGTGACATTTTTAAACTATCTGAATGTGGCGGTGCCATCTGCAGTCATTTCGAGCACCCACTGGTATATCCACATGGGAATCCTGGTAAGGTGTGCAGCAAGGATCCTTTTTCTTGATTAATTTCAATAGCACCCCAAACGTGCCTACCGCCCGCACTGGAACATGTACTGCAATGCCATGTGTTCCAGTGTGCTGTACTTGCAAAAAATGTGCATGTAGTTTTACTCAGAAGTAAACTTTCTTGTAAAACTCCATTTGTGTATTTTATTTAAAATTTATAGATTAAATTTTATTTTTTTATCAGATTTTAATTGAAAAAATTATCGGTCAACTAATCAATTATGAAAAATATTGCTCGTTGCAGCACTAAATAACATACATTTTTGTGAATAGTTAAGGTACCTGAATGCATTAAGATTTATCTCCTGAGTTTAGTGTCACTTTAAACTCTGACATTTGTGTTCTTGTTGGATTAATACTAACAATATTTTTTATGTTGCAGTGAAGTGTGCACATGTTTGTTTTAAACTTTTCTTTTCATTG